AAATGAGTGACAATGATACCAGTTCTTCTATAAAAAAGTTCTCAATTTGACATTCTGTCAAAGCATCGACAACATATGCGTGCTCCATTCTAACTCGCGCTCACAATTCGATATGAATGTGGAATGAACGGACACAGAAACAGTGTAAAATTCCAATTAAACAGTCGGTATTAGGAAAATTAATCGCGTATTACACGCACCTATCGCCATTAATTAATATTATCATATTTCGTAATTATGTAAATTGAATCGATTTTCCATCAAATATAGCTAGTCATGGTTATGATCGCTGTGCATTCCTCTGTAGATTATTGACCTTTTTCCATTCAAAGTCTTTCTCTCTCTTTCCTTCAGTTTTGGTGGTATTTAAAGTAAATCAACAAAAAAAGTAGCTCGCACTGATTTTATGACCCATAAAATTGTTGATAGTATAAATGTTACCTGTCCAATGAATTGGAATGGATTCGTCATCGTAATTAATAAACTCACACTCTTTTTTGTGGCTATTGAGGACATAGATCGATGTGAAAACAGCACAATAATGAAAGAGAAATAAAAAGAAAGAGAGAAAAGTGACATAACTGCATGAACGCATTGAATTTTCGATTTTCATTTTGTTAGTGTTTTTATTCGTTCATCACACGGCAATATTTTTCGATTTCATTAACGAATAACCGCTGAACAATCTCTATGATAAGAGAAACGATACAACTATGTCAGACTAAGGGTGAAAATTAAAACGGAAATGCGTGTTCAATGAAAACATTTTTTGATACGCTGTGTTTTGTGTCCATTCCATTTGACCTTCCACTCTCTTTTATGAAACTATGTGTTCAAATACGATACACTGTTTATTCTTTAGATCTTTTGTGCAGAAACGCATAGCATTCAATTCGAATTTGTAGGAAATTTCAAAAGATTCTTGCCGTTTGAAATTCTTTATTGCTTCCTATTCACCGCTTGCTCGTCTGTGATTTGGATTTTCTATAGAATTATTTTTTTTACTGCCTCTTTGATTTCAGGCCTGTTTTTTTTTATTTGTGGCCTGGGAAGATCGCATTTTTGGTAAAAATAAAATATTATATTAGTTGTCGCAATAGGAAATCGATCGCTGAGTCGATGTGTCGTGCTATATACCGCACACACATGAATCGAATTACGCTGCTTCTATGTCTAATAAAATAAAAACCAATAAATAACCATTAGATCAGGTGATTTAAAAATAAATGACATTATAAAATCATTAGAGGCGAAAAAAATGATGCTGAAAGAGTCACACGATCATGAAACATACTGACGTTTTGTATCGGAACTGGGGGCTTTGATTGCGTCGACGTGGAAATGATCGTTCTTTTTCATTTCGTTGCCTTTACATTTAATAATGAAATATTTCGGTTGGTTCCTGTTTTCCGCACCGACGTCATACCGATTGCATTGTTCAAATTGTTTGATTATTTAAGTCGACGAAAATGTACAATAACAATAACAATCGAAAGGAATAGAGCTTATGGACAGCCATAAAAAATCGTCATCGTTTTTGTGACTTTAGAAATCAAAAATGAATTTTTAATTTGTCCCGAACATCCTGAACTCATATTTTATTTACTTAGAAAGTTACTTGACGACATGCATAATGTTGTAGGCTATTTATTAAATTCTTAATTTACAACGAAATTTTGTGTAGAAATATGGTTCTGTTGAACGAAATGTGGTTCTGTTGAAAATTGCAATTTTTTCTCGAATATGTACAAAAAAGTGTTCCATACAATTTCACTGGAAGTGGGAAAAGCATGTCTGATGAAAAGAACAAAAAGTGTTTTGTAAATTGATTTCGCAATTTTATGGCCACATGTTAATTTGGAAAGGATGATAAAAATAAATGCAAATATGGACAAAAATCGTAAATGTTATTAAATTATTCAGATCATTAAAACTGCTTTGATTTAAATTTTCAACAGAATCACAAATGCTTTTCAATTACAGCGAATATTTGGTTTTATTTCAAAGAGTTTTACGTTGGTTCTTTTATACCAGTACAAAAAGCCAACGTGTACATTTTACATGATGATTGCGAATGTGTTTCGTTTCAAAATGCTGACAAAATGCAAAGTTCTTTGAATGTGAAAAACTGATTGTCTTTGAAATTATACGGCTTTGTTAAACTTCAAAGCATTTTTATTTTATTTTTTTAAAATTGAATCAAATGCAATACACATCATTTGATTTTGCAATCAAATCATTTTCGTTTGATTAAGTTCCTTTTTATGTTGTGTTAAATTGAAAACTCATTGAATTTTTACCGTAACATCACCAATCTCAAATTGTCTATGCAGTTCATGAGTATGTCTTTCGTTTGTCCACCGTATTTCCTTGTTATACAAAGCACAAAGCGTGGAAAATCCAATGAGTGTGCATTTGTGACTTGCAATGACAACATTTGACGTTAGCTGAAACTGTATAGTTTATGTCACACAATATGATATTTATGCCGAGGTGAAAAACTTGCAGAAAGACAAAGGAATGTTTCGCATTATGTGAATTACTGTGCGTATCAAAAAACAACAATATTGTGTGTTTTGTTATGAAGAAAAGTCGTTTTCGTTTGTGTCAAAAAAGAGAAATTATCATGTCTGGTTTTCCATCGATTTTCATTTGCAACATTCTCACATCACACGTACGTGTGTGTTGTATTTATGGAACTTCTAGGACTTCGACAAGTGAGCAACGTACGCTAAACACAAGACACGAGCACTTTTATGATTGCAACTGGAAAAGTGCACTGTTCACGCGCACCATTTCACATTCAACGTCGGGGGCATAAAAATGTCTTGCCATGGGATTTTTGTTGTTTTGTATTAGAAAATTCAAACAAGAGATACAATTCTTCGTGTGCTGAAACTGCAACACGTAATGTAAACGCGGCATGGTAGCAAGTCTTCTGTCGCGCGTGTACACGTGGCCGAATCAACTGTAAAAACATTTCTAAAGATTCTTCGCAAGTAATAATATATCTTTTTTGTGAAATCACGCTTCGATTTCAATAAACCATACAATTTCGATCGCACTGCCTGCAAAACCCAATGCCAAGATAGTAAACAACAATATCTATTTACTAATATTTCATTTTGGGTCATTGTACAGTTGTACACAAAGAGAGCACTGTGGTCAATGCGCTTCTTATCTGGAATGTATTTCTCTTCCTTTGTTGAATAGGTATGGCATAAAATAAATAAAAATATACTTATAAATACTGAAAGAAATTCATCCCCCGAATTTGGGCAAGTGGAAAGGATAATTAGGTGACTATTAGAGGAGTTTGTATCGAATTTCCATACATGCATCAAACCCCAAATGCCGCATACACTAAGATTACTCTTGGGATTCAAGAGCAAGCACGCTTATAAAATTATAAATCCCTTTCAATTTGTAAACCACAACTAAAACATTTTGCCTCTGTGTATTCGGAGCTGCCAACCAATTCTTTTCGTTCCATTTTAATGAGTATGTTCTTTATCGCATACACAATGGCAGACAGAATAAGAATTCGCTCCGATATGTATGTACATTTCGTATATTAATAATCGGATGCGATGCGGATGCCAATCTCATTTATGTCATGCTGCGTTTGTTTGGATTTTCAAAATGTTTCGTTATTAAATAACAGGGAGCACAAACTAAAATTTTAAACATAAGTCTTGTGGTAAATTCTGTGGCCCATTTTTTTCGACATATCATTAAAAAGCATAGATTTTTATCAATAATTTTTTTCTGCGATATGATTTTTATTTGCGTACAATGTAGAAATTATTTCTGAAGATGTTTGAGTTTAGCACTTGATATCGCCATTTCTTCAATTCGCTGCTAATTTGCATCGCATCTCATGCGTAATTTCACAGATTACATTGGATCAAATCAGAGAAAAGTAATCAAAATGTGCAAACATTTAAAAATAAAATGATTTTAATTGCGTCTTGGCCTTTTAAAGGTAGTGGGAACAGAAAAAGAAGCCGATTTTTGGAGAAAACGATGCGTTTTATTATTTCTTATTTTTATTTTTTTTGAACTCATTGTTGACGAAGATTCTATTTTGACACACTGAATTTGTTCTTCCCACACTGTGCTTTGTTCGCAATTTATCTTCTTCTTCTTTACGTTAAGCGTGCATTGAAGAATAAAATCAACAAAGTAAAAAGAAGCAGCTACCAAATATTTTCAACGCCTAACAAAGCACACACACACAAACCGCCTGAGAGAAAAGTTTAAAAAAAGTGTTTACAAACAATTGCCATTGTGCCCAAAATTAAATGGGAATCAATAAGACCGTAAATCGTTTCGAACTTACCCAATTTAATTGTTTATGTCTCAGCACATTTCTTTACCTACATCGATTATATTGTTTACTACCAATCAAAAATGTTCTCCTTCAAAAATGTACAGATAATTTTGCTTCTGTTTTCGAATTGCGTAAATTTCCGTGTGATTTTCCATTGTTATAAACTATTTTTTGCTAAGAGCTATTTATGTTTCGGCTAGACTGAAGAACAAACAGACGAAGAAAAAGAACATTTCATCAAATTTTGATTCTTTATTTATGATTTGAAGGATACTCTGAAGAGTGCCCAATATTCTTTATCTGAATTGAAAAATATAATTCTATCTAAAAGAAAATACATTTTCCGTGTTAAAACTTCAAGCATCCCACGTTTTGATTTAACCAAACACCTTCATTTAAATTTGGATGAAGATTATGCTAAAAAAGTACGCCCACGTCGAATTCAAATATCGAGTATTGTTTCAAGTTTTCTTCTCTCGATGATGTAATAGAATATCAAGTAAAAACTTTGCTGAAAATTCGGACAAAAAGCTATAGATTTCATAAATGAAAAGAAGAAATAATTTTTATCGAAATTTTTTTTATTGAGTTTTGTAAATTTCCACAATAATATACTTAATTCATTTGCAAATAATATATATATTATTTATATAATCAATTTTACTGCTATTTTATATTACAATTGGACAATTAACATTAGTTATGGTCAAGACACGGAAAGAAATGGTTTAGTATTTGAAAGAAGGGTAAGAGAAGACGTATTTGTTTTATACTTTTGCGATTGATTTTGTCTTTCTGAATTGAATGAACGATACCGGTTGGTGTGACTTAATAATATATTATCGACAAATTAGTTAAAATCGTCTCTCTTTGTCTTGAACATGTGATTGTGTGTGTATTAAATGTGTAACTATCCAAAGTATTGTGAGTGTGAGGGCATCAAATTAACATGTTTATGATATGAAATTTTGATATATATTTGTCGCTTGAATGTTATTTGTTTTGTAGCATATTTTTCACTTTTGTTTCAACTTTACACATATCTAACTCTAGAATATATTTTCAATTTGACATGTTAAATATATATATTTTTTATTTATTTATATAGTATAATTAATTGTAATTTTCTTTCCTTATCGTTTTATTGAACCTAACATAATCATGGATTGTTGATTATTATTTATGCTGATTTTTTGTTTAAGTTTTATTTTGCTATCGTCGTTTATGTTTGTTATTATTACTTTGAATGTAATTGTTGTTAAAGAACTAGAGTATTCGTTTGTTGTCCATTCGGAGTGCTTTGTCTTTAGTTAGGTGGATGATTTCTTTTCTTTGTTAATGTTCTTGCTTTAAGTTTAATGTGAGAATCGTTGTACTTCATTTATTAGGCATGAATAATGCATATGATGCATTTACTCGTGCTTTTTCTAAGGACCAATATATACTCATTACATTCTTTCTTTGTTTACGTTAATTTTTTTTAATTTCCTCTCATTCATGAATTTCATTTCTCCTTGCTTCAATGTTTTGTGGATTATTATTTACGTTTCACGCATTCACTAAAAGAATAGTGAATGAAATGAACAAATTAACGAATAATATCGCATGTTTTGCACTAATAAATTGCAATGAATCGCTTTTTTCTTACTCATTGCACAAAAACTGCGATAGTACAGTGTAGACGAGTGAAATTAAAAATTATCCATGCGGTCGCTACTTTATTTTGGTGATATTTTATTGTTGCGAAAAAAAATTTCATTTTTATTCAAACACGCACACTGACACATAGAACCAGAAAAAAGTTGAATGTTTCTAATAAATTACGTTTTTCTCTCTCTCGAAGTGTATGGTTTTGCTTTAAACATTTTGATTCGTGTTTTATTCCACGAAAAATGTCGTTGACGATTCGAAATTCAAAACCATTCTAATAATTTTTCTGCTTTCAGTTTTGTATTAAACCATATTCAATAAATTGATTGAGTTCCGATGGTCAATTAGAATTATCGTCAACGTATTATTCCTACAACTAAACTCTCTATTTCTATCTTCCACTCTCACTTTTTTGTGGTTTTTTTTTTGTCTCTTACACCTTCAATTTTTTTCTTAAAAATTATCTTGAAAATTACGTATTTTAAATTGTTGAATATGTGTTTCATTCATCATTTGTTTGCTTCTCTTGCATCAACTATTTACATCTTTGCCAGCCAGACATGCAAGTGTGTACCATCCGGTAAAATTTCTTTTTTATATTAAAACTCAAGTATGCATTCAGATCTTTTGAAGGCGTATTTTGCACAAAATCCATTTAAAATTAATTACAATATGTAGATTGAAGTATTTTTTTTTTGATATCAAATCACATGAAAAATGATGACGAAAAAATTGATAAAATATTCGAAGAAGAAATGACCAAGCACAAGAATACTAGTGAATAAAATTAACAAAAAATACAATTTTCGAATTGTTTAAATAGATTTATAATATTCAATGCGAGCTTCTTTTTTCTCTTTTAAATATTGTCATTATTTATCGGCGATATTTCTTCTTTCTCTATCAAAATTGAAAAGTGATTTGAATTTTTTTACTTCAATTTTAAATAAACAAGTAGGTTTTTTTTTGCGAAACTCTTTGTTTTTGTTTCGGTTGATACTTGATTTTACGATTAAATGATTGTAATCTAACAAAAGATTTTCCATTGTAATGTTTCTTGTGTGTGTATGTGTGTGAGTGTGTGTGATATAATATATATATAAAATGTATATAAATTAGAGATAAATTCCATTTTGTTTAATCAAATCGAATGTTTTATACCATATTGATGCCATACTTTTCTGGTGCTGGCGACATATAATCAAGACCATTCGATGAGAATGGCTGTGATGTCATCGCACCGTTGAATGTGTTGCTGGCGGTTAAGCCCATGTTTGATGTTGAATAACCTGAATGTCCCATGCTGTAGTTTGATTGGCTCTGATAGTCCACTTGTGAGTAGTAAGAAGCTGGTGTTTGATAGCTATTTGGATATTGATTGTATTGTGAATGCCAAAAATACGATTCATGGTTCGGCACATAGGACAGGGCATTTTGTGATGGTGTCATTGGTGGCGATGGTGTTGTTATGATTGATGAATTTGAACCTAATGGTGTGCTGTTGCCGCCATGGCCAAGACGTGCATTGATATTTGAATATGCAATTGGATTCGATGAAATCATACCGGCCATTTCTTCTTTGATTGAATCATGTATAGATGTGGATTTCATAACATCACTCAGTCCGGGCACACCATTTTGTAAGCCATAGTTCAGTTCTTTTTTACAAATTACATTTACCGGCGGACTGACCGATGATGTTGGTGTCATCGGTAGAATTGGTGATGAATTGTGACCAATCGATACGAGTCCATTATTTGATGTTGTGGTATTATTGTTTGAATTACTGTTTTGATGCGACAATTGATTATTATTCGATGTGGTAGTATTCGTGCCTTGTTTTAATGATGTGCTCGTATTTTTCGATCCAGATCCACCACTGTTCATACCAGAACTGTTTGTTTTGTTATTGTTGTTGGTGATGGCATTGCCGCTGCTATTTCCACTCGAACCGGTGCCACGTGATGATGGCAACGAAGACGATGAACATGAAGACCGTGACGATGATTTAGAGTTATTTGCATTGGATGACGACTGTTGATGAGTTTGTTGTTGACGCACTTTCGCCCTACGATTTTTGAACCAAACCTGCAATTTATAAACAGAATATCGGAAAAAATTAATATTATTAGATATATGAACACATGACTTTATGGTATTCCCATCCGAATATTTATAGACAGATGTAGTATTTAATAATAACTCTTATTAACCACCAAGTAATCACCAGCCCAATAACAATAGAAAGTGCATTGTTTCCGAAAACTGTTGAGCATGTTCATGCTTTTTCTATTTCAGAATAGATAATAATATCAACTAAACAGACAAAACGAATAAGTCACATTTCAATTACGAATATGGCCATATTCTATTGCAACCATGAATTGGAAGGGCTTCTTGCAGGTTGTAACAACCTTTCAATGGCTCAGCATGTGGTTTTTAATTTGAAAATATGCAGAAGCTCGAACATTTGCTGCTTTTCTACAACCAAATTAATGTATTTTTTTTTTTCGATTCAAAGACAATGCGATTGTGTGCGTGCATGGGATAAAATGCTAAGATTTGTCCTTTTTTGCAAATACAATCAAAAGGACAATACAATTTAGATGAAAAAGATTTGAATCACGAGCTAATGGAAAACAGATGAAAGTAATAAAAATCGTAAAGTAATAGTCTCAACGAAATTTGATACAGCACAAATTGCAATAAAGTAAATTCGCCGCAATAGCCAAAGCATATACACATAAAAAGGTAACAGTTCAGCAGTTTACCCACTTAACCATTTGCCGTATATTCAACAAATTAATAGTATACCATGTCCCGTGTATATTTCATTTTCGTTCTCTGGTTGGAAATCAAATTCAATCAAATGTCTATCACGCCAATGAGCACATAATAATAGCAGTAAATGGGAAAAAACACGGCACCCCTAAAATAACTCAAGCAAAAACACAAAATGCATTTCAACCCTCAGATTAAAAATCCAAAAAAAAAAATTATTCACGTTGTGAATACGCATCGGTTGTTGAGCAGTAAAGCGACGAAACGATACATTCAAGCACCCACAAAAATGTTTTTCTTTCTTTTATGAAGTTTCATTCTTCAGCATTTGTCACTTCTATGTTCTGCTCTCGTTTTTTGCTCTCTTTAAATTGAGTTTGCTCCGGTGGAATTGCTGTGATATTTGGGAAATTTACCGAATTGAATTCACAACGCAAGAAGAATCGATTTGATTTCAGGGCACAAAAGATGAAAAGAAGTCTATTAAATATTCACCATACTCTCTTTTTGTGAATGGTTCCCGGTCTGCTTGCATAAAAGGAAAAAATATCGAGTCAAAACGAATTGAGGGGATTTTTCCGAATGGGTACATGAAATAGCATGCATAAGTGAAATGTAATCGGTTACGTAATGAATAAGTAATGCGTGCCGCAGAGAGATAGTAAGAGAGTGAGCAGAGCGTTGAAACGCTTGAAGAGCACCCACCTATATGGTAGAACGGATATTTGATCCAACAGGATTCGATTTGTGCCAGTGAGGCATGCACATAATCGTTAACAGCATCCAATGCTACTTAGCACAATATACAATGCACTCACCCACTCGTTCGTGTTTGCTAATTTTTGGGGTGGAACCGACGCAACAACAACCAACGAAAACAACAATAACAGCATGCACACAGAAAAAAAGAAATCTATTTTCTCTAGTTTCTTTTTTTGGATGGAGTGCAAACAACACCCCAAAACTGTCATTTTCTGCCAAGTTAACCATGTGATTTGTTTACGGATTTACACTATGATGTAATTTTATTCATTATTTTCTTTGGATAAGAGGGTGGTTTTGGCCTCTTCTCATTTTACCGCAGTCCATGCTATGTTTGTTATTGTTGCACCCATGTATTGTCGACCCACACAATACATTGAGAGAAACACACTGCTCTTATCTTCACAGCAGACGTCACAAATACGAACGAATACACTATTAGAGGGTGTGTGATGATATAAAATTGAAACGACAGCATCATAATAGTTCTGTTAAAACGTCAATTTGCCGACATTTATTTGAAACAAACAAGGCACAATCTCTCTCTCTCTCTCCAAAGTGCCATAAGATTTAATTTCAACTAATAAAATGTGAACCAGGAAATTTACGATTCTCATACAAATTATTGTTTATGGCTTTAATTATCGGTTTTATAATAAATGTACTACTTCATGCAAAAAAAAGAAACTTGTACGTCGAATCGGTCGCATCTGATTTATTGCTCGGTCACAAATCATGTTGCAGCTACCTTTTCGATCATTAACAAACGGCACAAATCATAAAAACAAACAATTTTCAACGACCGTTCTGACTATGACTGAAATTTATTGCATCTTGCACATTGCAACAAACGAAAATATGACATTTTCATCAATGAAATGTTTACTTAATTGAAAATATGTGTGACCGAATACAAAATGATTTGTACAAGCACAACTGACTCAATGCCGTGTCGCTTCTTTAGCCAAGGTCTTTTGTATTAAAAACAGCCGTAAACAATTTAGAAAACTACCTTTCAAAACCTATTCATCATCAATCATCTCTCTAACATACGTATATATCACAGTAGCCAAATAAGAGATTAAAACTCCCATTCAAGTTTCATTTCAGCAAACAAAACAACAACAAAAATCACTCCCGATTTGAATGGCGTTAGTGTTGACAAAATGTGTGAAATGTTTTCATAATGCAAATAATATACAATCACTATTACTGATTTTTATGCATGGAAATGCACAATAATTTTTCTATTTGAGTGACAAAATGTTCCGATGTCAAAAGAATTCAACAATGGGAGTGAGACAAAAATCCCGAACGAACAATAGAGACAAATAAAAGTATCGCCGCACAGAGACAAAAAAAAAAGAAAGCGATGAATTGAAAATGAGGAAAATGCCAGAGGGTTGTAATTCATATTTCGTTAGTTATTGTGCATTTCATACATCGATATTTACAGTGTAAATATGTCAAATTGCAATCGATCGACAAATGCATTCTCAATTTTCCTTGACGAGTACAAAAAAACAACAAACAACCCCGGACTCTTTGTGGTAATAGTATGTGTAGCTAAATATGTTTTTATGCTGACACAATGAATAATAGTTTTTGCACAAGAAAAATGGAAAAGAAAAATATGTTGCATTGCCCATGGTCGGTATGTATTTCGGGTTTGTTTATTCGAAACATAATGAAAAAGGAGAAAAAAAATGTTTGCACTAAAATGTATAATCATTACTGCAATTGATGTCATCGTTTGATATTGTTTAGGCAAACACAGCCGTCTCTGTGTTTTTCAGCATTTTCTATTCTATTATTTTATTGTCATTTCATGTGTGAATTTGTGTTGGAAATAAATTGAGATATACACTGAGTATTGAATACAACATAAGTTTGAAAAACAACCAGCCATAAATTGATGATTTTTGAAAATGGGAAATACATGTTTCGAATCCTCGAAAAATGTCAATTTGTATGAAAATCACTTTTTACACCAGTTTTTTTGCTCCAACTCAAAACACTAACGGTATTATATGCACAATCCAAAAATGTTCCTTTCGTATGTTGTCTGAAGCCCCACAGAAGCTTGTTTGTATCAGTTTTGTTGGTGGATATTTTATGCTCTCCACTACTATTTTTCTGTTGGAAACAAATATATCTAATTTACGGAAAAAAACAAATACAATCTCACAACTCAATGAGTGTATTTCATATAGAAGCGGTAAGCAAATACATAAAAAGTGAAAGAAAAAGAGACATAGAAAAAAGCGTAATGGCCAATGTTTATTGAACGTGAAACCAGCAATAGACGTATGCCATTCAAAACCGAATTGTGCAGCAAGAGTGCAATAGTAGAAGAAATGATCGTTTTATGGGTCTCGTACATTGTCTACTTGGCCATATTATATTCCATTCATTTAGGCACAAATGAACATATTTCGAGCTACTTAAATTACAATTTTTACCAAGCCACGTTCTATCCATTGTTGCACATAAATGTTGTTTTCAACAATTCTCTCACTGTTTTATGCTCTATTACTTCTTGCCCGATCGCCTTTTTTTCAGTTGTGAAATGAGAGAAAAAAATCGAGTTTTGTTTGCCATTCAATTTTACACACTTGCATACGATATGATTGATTTGTGATGTGCATTTGATTTGTTTTACCTTTTTTTCTCTCTCCTGCTTTCGTTCTCTTTCTCGTTTGTTTGTTTGTTGTTGATTTTTTTTTGTTTTTCGTTGTTGAAAGGAAAATTGAGAAATAGAGAGTACACGTGCGTCAAACAAAGAGCAATAAGAGACAGAAAGAGTGTAGTAGAGAGAAAATGAAGAAAAGAAGAAAAAAAACATGTGAAGAGAGCATGGTTTTATAGTTAGTTGAACTCGAAAAGGTTCGGTTATGGATGCCATTTACGCCGAGAAAATTGTATCGAATTTCGTGTTGTTGGTTTCAGTTCAACAGACACACGATGTTTTCACTGTGATAATACACTATCGTCTTGCATTCGACTTCGAACAACAAAAAAATCATCTTGATTGGATAATTGTTGTCCGTTTACGGAACAACTACAAACAGAAAATTACAAGAGAGAGAAAAAAATATCAACTCTCATCATCCTCAAGTATTATTTCAACGGGACATACATTTTCGATTTAATGAAGCAGAAATAGTTGAGAATTTCATAGAATATCTATTAATATACCTGAATTGGCAATAGTCGAACAATTGAAACGACTATCAACACACACTAAACAAATGCAATCGATGATGTGTTAAAGTTAAATCATTTGATGAAAATGAATTCTTTCTGCTCAAAGCAAATTTACCGACAAGAGATGTCGGTATCTAAGTGAATTGATGTGCGGATTTTTATCTCTCATCTCTATTTACTAATTTGAAAAACTGCCAATGTAATTTAGATTGCTATAAAAATTTCTTGAATAAGAGGTAATAAAGTCATAAAAAGTAAAAAGAATGTGAAAATGGCATAAATCATTTCTAAAATTGCATAATTTCTCTAAAAATCATCGGTAGTCAAACAAAGGGAGAGGGTCGTTTACTTAAGCATATTTAAATCACAAGCCGATGATGGCGATGATGATAACATAATAAAAAATGATTGCACCAATTGTGAACAATTATCACATCATGAAAATTGGGTATTGTGCGGTGTGTTTGTTGCTGCTGCCGAATGTGAAACTGTTAAATAAACATCGACGATCCTAAATAAATACAAATGCCATTGTTATATGGTGTGCGCTATGATTTATGGATTTTTCTTACAAGAGATGTAAAAATGTTGTTTACTTTGTTACGATATATATTCTTGCTTTTGATTACGATTCATTTATTTTTGGTCTGCGTTTGTTCGGCATGGTGATTACCATTTTAATGATCTTTTGTATTTTAACATTAATGAATTATTTCGTTTCTTACCTGAACACGTGATTCGGGCAATTTAATTTTGCATGCTACCTCCTCTCGCATGAAAATATCGGGATATCGAGTTTTGCCAAATAAATCCTCTAATACGTCTAATTGTCCGCGTGTGAATGTAGTCCGTTCTCTTCGTTGTTTTCTGGTGTTTACGCCTGTGTAAAAAAAAAAAAAAGAAAAAACCATTGAAATTAAATATTACTATTTTTAAATTTTATATTTGGAAAAAGTTCAAAATAAAAGTCAAGTGATTCTCAATGGATGAGATTATGGCGAGCTTCTATTCGTAAGGCGGTAATTCAATTAAGAAATCCATTTTTGAATTAAAAAAAAAAATGATTAGAAAATTGTTATCGCCTACGATTTTTTTTTTGAACAGCATCGAATTTTCCCAATTAGCTGAATTTTGTTTTGTGCTTTTTATCATCATCAGATAGCTTGGATACTAATCCAAGGTTATACAGTTAAAAAAAATTGTTATTTCAATTTTTGCAAAATATAAACGAGAGCACTCAACACACACCCCCTTTGTTTATTTAATATTAAAACCGAACCAAGTCAAATAGTCGGTTGCTTGGTCGTTGGTATGCATGTGAAAGTGATTCTTGGTATTTTGTTTGTTTGTTTGTGCCTTGAAGCGGTACAACGCTTATCACTTTGCTTTTGTCGGGGAGGTGTTGATTTCACTTAGTCATGTGCATGTGCATAACCATTTTCGGCGATAAAATTAGATAAAACAAATTGAATAATATTGAAATAAACACATAAACGCACGCGTATGCCACTGTAAAGAATTTTACTTCGGAAAACAATTTGATTTGAACACCCTCTCAGTTGAAAATCAAGGGTCACAAATAGAGCTGGAAGCATTAAAGTAAACTAGTTACATATTTATTAAGAAAGATAAACACATTTTTCGGGCGAATGAAGTGCTCTATTGTAGATGCACTTGCCATTCGTTCGCACACACAAACAATGCTATGATACTGGTTCATTCTTTTGGCTGGATATGTGACAAATATGCGATGGGAGTAAACGAAATAAAACAAGCGACACATCTTCTATTCGATGGTGTTTTTACGCAAGTACGCAATTTCCGAGCGACGATGTGGATGTGTTGGGGTGTTTCTCTCGGATGAGAATTTGTTTTTTAAGCATCAGATGTCATTTCGAATGTATTTATATTTTCCTTTTTTTTCGGGGGCATAGTGTTGAGTGAGTGCGAGCGCGTGCACAAACATTGTTGTTTCCAAGTGCTTGATTCTATTAAAACTAATTTATTGAATAAATTCAAGTGACTGTGAGAATGGATATCCTTGATACCGACTGACACCGTCGGTGTAATTCAACAGACCTCGATTATTATGCGATAAAATAGCTTGCTTGTGTTCCATCTATCATTTTATTCGCCCATTTAATGTATATAATCAATGATTATTTTGGAATTGCGAGTCTTTCGAAAATGTGAAAGAATGCTGCAATACCATCTAATGCTGCGATCCTGACCACAAATCCAATGTAAAATCTTTGGATATTGACTCCGCTTTAAATCCGCTTTGGCTGAGGTAATCATGGATAAAACCATGTTTCAAAAGATTCGTTGCTAACTAGGCGTTTAATATTTTTATGGTATAAAAATGGCGATATTGTCATGACAACTGATGATGACGAAGATAGAACAATTTTGAAAATTAAAAAAAAAAAACGAAATTAAATATAGGTTCATTCAAGTTTGTAAAATGAATGTCAGCCGTAGGTAATTTATGAATGGCATATAACCAAGCGAGAGAAAGATCGTGCAGCATAGAAAATTATTATAAAATGTAACTTTGTGATAAAACAAATGGCAAGCACATACGTGCATACAATTTTATTTGCACATTGTAAAATGTGCTAAATTGAAATGCGTGTTTTTGCAGATTAAAGTGCAAAACAGTTCCACTACTGTATTAATTGAATGGTATTAGATTTTGCTTCCTGGTGCCATTCAGACGACAGACGTCGGCTACTAGTTATATCTAATTGTGCTTAAGTTTTGTACCGAATTTTGTGTTGCTCTTGCTGGTGCGCGTACTTCTCGCAGAATTTGTAAAAAAGAGCACAGAAAGTGCATACGATTTCAATAACCGTATTACAAGTTCACACATTATTTGTCAAGTTGAGTGTTAAGCAAGACTAACAGCGTGTCAAGTTTTTTTTAATCGCACATTCCGATTGTGTATGCGTTCTTGCTTAACGTTGGCTATGTACTACATTTGAATGGGCAAACATATACATAACATTATATCTATCAAGTCTGCGCGTCTAACGCATTATTGTTGCATAATCTTATTAGGCTTAAGAAGTTCATGACCTGAACTAACTCACTCACTCATATTTGAATATTTTTGTTGGCCATTTCAAAAGTGACCGTTCTCCATTCATTAATAACACTTTCAAAACCTTTGCGGTCCTCCAAAATCTTACGGAATGAGATTCGCAGTTTTCTTTAATTAAATGACATGCTTATGTTAAAAAAACCAGTGAAACAAAGAGACTTTGATTTTTACAAAACATCGTTTTTCGGGCAATCTGATGACAAAATCGTTATCATAAATTTAAATTTATCCAAATTTCGGAAATGGAAACCGACATAAATCTGTAAAAGGACAACATTTAACCTATTGTTCATGACTCGAGAATGATGTAAGAAATCTGTGAGGTCTTAAATTAAGTTGAAGGCTAAATAAATGAAAAGAGGTTCATGTTTAAACAAAACAAAGTGAATCGACTCGATTCAATAATTAAAATGGATGCGATAAATTGTTATTTAAGAGAAAGTGAAATGTTCTTTCCATTGTTTTTTTTTCGTTTGTTTTTAGAAGAAGGTTTTTTTTTAATTTCTAACGGTTGGTAGCAGTAACGGCGTTGCTTGTCGTAACCCATGAAAAGGCTGGGAGAACAACATGAGGCATTCCAAACCATTGTACCGCCTATACTGTAACATTCATTATAGCATGCGATGTGTTCGTCGTTGACTGTGTGTAACCAAACTAGTTTTCACCACGGAGCGACGATGAATTTAAGATGATTTATTTCGTCAATGGCATTTTTGTCATTTGCTATGGTTGGTGCAAATTGTTGTATCACTTGGTTGTTTGTCCAACCCTCGGCTTTATTCAAATACACAAAAAAGAATTTTTTTTTCTCTTTGAAATGAGAAAAGGGAGTCTGACAGGCCTGTTTGCAATATATGATATATATTATATAATGTTACAAGGAATAATAGTAAGTAGCGAGAAATGACGGCGATAAAAGTAACTGTAGTGCTTAGAAAGGCACCTCTCTCTATATATATATATCTCTCTATTGAATTCCATTTCGATGAATTCAATGCACAGATTTATGATGAACAAAAAATGCATTGTGCCGATACCTTTTTCCACCACTTTATTCGTGTACATAAGTTTTGTGCCAAATATTTGATTTTGATCTCTGATCGAACAAAAGGTAGTTTTTTTTGCAACCCCTACCATGTCGAAAGAATCAAAGTATGAGGAACGAAAAAAAATACTAAAATTATAATCAGAATGGCATACAGAACAACACGTCATTCTTTCGGCACAGACACAATCGGCAGCAAGAGAGACGAATACATAGTTCTTTTTTTTAGACGCATTAAGTGGAAAATGTGCACGTATTTTCTCTTTATATATTTCTAAAATGGAAACGTGAAAATCGTAATAAAAGAGCCAACCGAAATGATATTCTATTTTTATTTCCAATTGAAGGGTTGCTAATAGAATTTTTATTTTTTTTTTTAACGTTAGGCTTTTGGATTTCATGTGGGCAATTTGTCAATATACGGAAAAATTTTATGCAATCACAGTGTTTGAGCTCGTTTTCAAATCTAAACGGTAAAAATATCATATTAACAACAGCTGCTTTTAATGCAATCTCCTTTTTTTATTATTCGATATACGAGAATCCAATATGGCATCAACCGCTAAATGAAATTTCCATTTAAATGAAATAGAGCTTACTGTTTGATATTGTTTTGGATAATGAATGGAAATTCGGTTTGTTAGAATTTGGACAAACTGAAGTGAATGAAGCACGGAATGATTGTGCTTCTGGTTGGTTCTGGATATTTTGCTGATCTCTTTGATAAATTAATTTTGAATATATTTGCCTGGCCCGTTCACCAAAACATGGTTATAGCCTTGAAAGACTTCCAATGGCCGATACGCAAGATATGTCTGTGGCAATGTTTATGTGTGTTAACAAAACAAGGCAATAAATATTGTTCAAATGGAAATTGTGTGTGTGTGTGTGTTTTGCTATGATATGGCTAGCTATGAATTAGTCGCTTGCAAATAAATTACATATGCTGAATAAATTTTTATTGTGCGTTTTCGTGCGTGCATGCGTGTGTGTATGGAAGCGTAATATTTTATGTCGATGTGGCATTAACACCATTTTTGTTTTTCGTTCGGGTCGATCAAATCAAGTTATTTTGACAAAAACCGAAAAGTGAACATTTTCTGGTTGTGCTGGGATGCGAGATAGAAAGAACGAATCACGGTACCCAAAATCGTAGGGACGGGAATAAAAAAAAATGACTTAGTGTGTATCGTGCCTGCTCTCGACGACGATAACGACAATTGTAAAGCAAAACAAAAGCACCAGAGTGCCAAAGGGGCAACCTAATGCCGATTTATGATCACTTTATTGTGTTATTGCACAATTCATATTTTATGCTCATATATTCATTTACGATCCAAAACGCAACGATTCATATATACGAACACACAGTACAAATAAAATGTATCGAAAATATGAAAATGTTGTGTAAAATGGAAGCGAAATGCACGAGCGAGTGAAACAATTCCGATTTCGAGCAATGTCGACGATATTTTTTTACCCCATGAAAATTTATTCGTTCGTTTGTTTGCCTATTTTTCATTGCATACACGAATGTACCGCCTTATACATGAACGATCTATGGACGGGTCTAAGCGAAGCGAACACAAATCCAAGAAAAACAACATTTTCTTTGATTATTTTTATTATTATTACAGTCGACATTCGTTTAGTTGGTTTTATGTGTGTACAACTGTGCAATTGTACACTGTACATATGGGAAACTCGACGCGATATTTAACTGCCATCATGTTGCGTTTCTGGCGACGATAAAAAAATATGTACGAGATATATTCATGAATTAAAATGCAAGAAAAGGAAAAGTAAACATTGTACAACATAAATAAAAGAATAAATAGTTGATGCGAGTAAATGAGTGAATGTGAAAATGAAAATTGCATGGAAAATTCAAAATTGTTTTCATTTATTCTTATGGCTCTTTCTCTCTTCATCTCTCTTTTTAATGGCATACTACTTGCAATTTTTTCATTTCTGTCGTTAGATGATGCCATTTCACATGTTTATTATTTTATTTTTTGAGGTTAAATTGAAATTCGTGCGAATTTTTATTTGTGGTTTGTAAAATTAACAAAAGCAGCAGACAGACGAAGAAATAAACGGTTCAGATTAATAGCGTGTTATTTTTTCACACTTACACAAAAAGTTGTGGAGAAGCGTTTAAAAGAAAAAGATCGCAACGAAATGAAGTTGAATAATTCCCAAGTAACGAGAACAACATTTATAATTGAATTGAATCAATCGTTTAATTTATGATACGGAAAAACCGTTATGTTATGTAGGCGTAAAAATGAAGCTTAGAATGTGTCGAAATAACTTTTGCCATGTACATAAATTGTGTGGAGAATCTCAAGAGTAAAGCAAATATCGTATCGTATGTAATTGTGTATGGAAGGTTTTACCATCCAAAATGTGTGCCCAAAGTTCTTTTACTCGTTCGATTTGGTTGTTGTGTTTATCTATTGGGTTGTGGCGCATACGCCCATAACTCATATTGGTGGCTGTTTATTTATGCGTAAGAATCCGCTAATTTAAACATTTTTCCTCTGTAGCTCGTTCTCTTTTCCGCACTCGTTCGCTCGGCTTTTTGTGGAAAATCTTTTTTGTTTGTCATGACAAAATGGGAAAATCCGTGGTGAGAACGTTTACAGATGTGATTTTCATCCTAAAAATTGCATACCGAAAAACCGACGAGTGAACTGAAGCGAAACGAAAACGACGACATGGCAAGATGAAAAAAGAAATTCACCGCATTTTTAACAATGGTTGGCAACAGTTTACTTTTCATTGTTGCCGAGAATGCTTTACTTTTTGGAATATAATGGAAACGTTTTTCAATTCAAACAAAGACTGCGGCAAATATTTCATAGAACGACAAAAGAGACTGTAAAATCACTGAGATCATGTTTTGTATCAACTAAATGTGGTGAATTTTGTAATTTAAAAATTGATTTTTGAATGTTGGCATGCATATAGAAAATTTCGAAACAAAGTGAAGTGTTAGAAAATAAACTCGAATAAAATGAAGATAATTTACAACGCTCACTTTAACTTTATTTACAGGCAAACTTTTCCGCACGTTCATTCATTCGTTCAAACTTTCGCTTTGTTTCTTTTGGAATGTTTCGAAAATCAAAACATCAAAAATCACTCGGGGCGTACATTGTTGTTGCGGGATTCGGAGTGAGTTCTCATTTTGTTTGTTTCACAAATGGTGTGATTTTTGTTAGTGAGTTTGTATGTCATGTTGTATGTACGTGTGACGACGCGCATAAATGTTTCTGAGTGCCTGCAATTTCAAGATAAACCGCTTATCGGGGTGGTACGCGTATTCGATGAAACTTATTTTATTTTTCTCTATATTTTGTGTAACATGACGAATCGCAAGCATAAAGTATTATTCATAGTTTTGTTTGGGTAGTGCGCACATTCTCTCTTAATGTCATCCAATAGTATGACCGAATTGTGGCTGAACATTTTCTGTACGTATGTCGTCTGTATGGAAACTTAAAATTTGGCGCGATAAATAATAATAATAATTAGATTACAATTTAATGCACGCAAAACTAATTTTGCTACAGGATTTTCCACTGGTTTAATGATATGAAATGGTAAATCCATTAAATTTCAACATATCAAACACAACAATCGAGTTAAATACATCGTGAATTAAACGATCGATAATATATTTCAGCATATTTTTTATTTCTCATTCTAAATGTTTGGCATTTGTATCAAATTTGTTATTTTTCCTCTGAATTTGTCACATCGATTATCATCAATTTTTTTGGTTGTTTTAGCGTATTCACTCCATTTACTTCTATTTTATTTGCGAGTCATTTTTTATGAACTTTCTCTTTGTGCGTTGCCGAAAAATGCTCGCTACATCTCATATGCATAACGAAGTGAAGAAAAATTATTTAAGAGCCTGTCAACATGTTATTACAGACAAATACATTTTCGGTGTTTCTTTTTCAAGATGAATTCATTTTTTCGATCATGATTTCAGTAAAGCGAAATTTTTCTGTATTTTATGACGTGGAGGGAGGAGCAGAAAAACAAATGATGGAAATTACTTAAAAAAATCGACAATATCCGATGCGTACAATAAATGTGATTTGACGTCGTGTGAATCAGAAATCAGGCGATTGATTTAAGCAAGCAGGAGAGAAACAAGAGTTGTGAAATTGTCGTTTTTGAGCTGATGTGCAGCCACGAGACAAAAAAAAAACAGTGATATGTTGAGAAAACTTACTGCGGGAGACAGAGAAAAACGAAGGTATTGATATACATAAGTTTCGGCGCGGGCGAAAAAAGAAAAATATATGATAAATTTATCAGATTGAAAGGGTAAAAGGGAATGCGCACAATGAGTGATCTCCACACATTCACGTTTTTATCTAAAACGAATTCGAGAGTGAAAAGAATAGCCATCAATCGCGACCGACCAAAAATGATTCATGGCGAAACAGACGAGAAAAAAAAACAACAAAAATTTGGTTGTGTTGAATATGAAATACACCGAAGACATGTAGGAGCGAGATGGATCACAAAGAGCTTGGACGTACGGTCGTGGTGTTGATGGAGAATGCTTTTAAAACGACACAAGAATTTTGTCACGATATTCACTGAAGCAGATAATATTGCTCATGAAACTCTTACAGAGCATTGCTGCCTTGAACGAGCGCATCCATCAATGTTTTCTAGTTTGATTTCTTGTCGCGCTTACTTCTTAAAAGTAATATAGAATGAGACCTCGTTGAGTCATTCAATGCAGATCTTTAAATATTGGAATTTAATAAATTCAATTTATGAACTTTAACCAAAAATGCGCATTACGTATGAGGAATTTAAAATGGCTTTAAGTACATGGTAGCTGTTTTCCTTAACAGTTTTGTCAATTGATATGATTATGAATTGGAATTCGTTGATTCATGAGATAAGGTAGGCGCATAGAGAGGTTTTTTTCCATTCTTGTTGGATATCGAGAGCGCCACGTTAAATGATTGTCACAGAATCATTTTTTTTTAAATCATAAGCATCATTTTTAATTTTAAAGTGCCACAAATGACTAATATTAATTTCTTTTGGTTGTGCATTTATGATCTGACAACAGAAAAATGCCCGAATAAATAGTTGAAGAGTGTTGATGAAGAAAATTAGTTCATTACTATGGCTACTGATTAAAATTTAATCGACCATACGACAAACAAAGTGTTTGTGTATTATTTTTTTCTCTCTCGTTAGAGCTGCACGGAGAGATAAAGCAGTGGACAGAAGATAAGACTAATGTATTTGATGTGCGCACACTTTTTTTCAATATTTTTTTTTTTTTTGCTTTTGCAGTTGAGCTTAAGATGTTACGGTTGGTATTAGCATCAAATGATATTAATCTGAGCCACATCTCTCAGTCATAGCCAAAACCGAAAAGATTCCACATACACGTGAAACGAAAGATACAAATGACACAACGCTTTATGAAATGAAAGAATCAAATGTCTGGAACTGAAAAAAAATGTGCGTTTGAAGAATGAAATATTTTAAGTTAGTTGCGGTATTGAATATTCAGTCCGACACTGTGACGTCCGTCGTATTTTCGTTTGGTTTTCCGATGCAGCCGGACATCAGAATGAACAGCAAAACAGACGAAAAACACGGACAGAAATAAAAACGTTTATTGAAAAAGACATTAATCATTGGCCGATTCTAATGACACGCGATTTATGTATATGACAATATTTTAAACAAAAAAAAATTCTTCGACTTTAATTTACACATAATCGTTTTATTCACACCGTTCCCATTTCATCTTTCTGTCACATAATCAATCTCATCCAACCCGGTTTCTTTACTCAATCGCTAAAAAAACCGAAACGATAACGAAATTCCGAAGATGATCTTTTTCAGAATTGGTTTTAAATTTTAATCGAATCTCTGTCTCTTCGAATGTAGAAGTCAACACAGTCAAACGAACAAATTTAAAATAAAAAAAAAAAACGAAACTAATGAAGTGATAGTAATAAATGTGATATTTACCCCACATACCTTGCGGGAAGCCAATCGATGTGTCCAATCCATGTGGCAAACCAAACGGTAACGATGTCATTGGCATTCCCGGCGGTAATGGTCCATGTGCGTGTGCTGAATGATGCGGATGTGGTGCACCATAGCTATGTGCATGCGGCCCAAGATCCGATGATTTCAAATAACCCGCCATGAGGGCTTCTGTTGAGTGGAGAGCCAGTTTGACCAAATTTAATTAAATTGTCCTGAAATTACAAAATAAAAGAAAAAATAAACAATTAAACATGGTTTTTAAAACGTGATGAATAGTGTAAAATTGCAACTGGAATTTAGGACGTGATTATCAAAAGACAAAACTATGAATGTTTTGTTTGTCACTTCCTAAACATGCAATGACACGACTCGTCTAAAAATTCCTTTTGTTCACAGACACGTTCACATCTGTTTTATGGACCACACCAAAAAGCAACAACATTCCATTGAATTCACTTGAAATGGGCGAAATACCGTTTACGTAACATTATTAATAGAAATGTTTTGGGCACAGATGACAGATCAAATACGCATGTCGTGAGAATTCACTGCAATAACAATTCATTTGAAAAATTTTACTGTAAAATTGTTTGTCGAGCAGTTGGTGGTGGTGATTATAGTTTTGTTTTGTGGCATTGCAAAATTGTCAATTCATGTTTTTGTTCGCCAAAGTGCATTGAGGTGAAAATTTCAATTTCTTTTTTTCAAACCACACACAGTAAAAAGCTCATGTGGTGACAAATGGTGATCAAAACCGTTCATTTTATATTTTTGGTTGTTGTTTTTTTCTCGTTCGGTAATGGAAAAAATACCGTACACAATGCACATATTCTCTGTATTTTAACACGAAACAATGAATGCACATCCATTTCGGCACATTATGCCTTTGATGGATTAGAGATTCTTCCAAATTGATATATTCTTACCGTTTATCAATCGTTGAGAGGTGATCTTGTTTAATCTTATACACGAAGTGTTCCACACAAATGCTTAGAATGTACTGATACACACACTGACTGACCGACTGTCAAATTGTCGATGCTGCCACAGATACATTCATTAGAGAATACTATCATTATGTTCTCATTTCATGACTCATTTTTACCTGCGCTTATTTTGTCACATACATGTTCACTTAGAGAGAGAGAGAGAGTACACTAACTAAAATGCATGCCGTCAAATTGTGTCAAAAGTAAATGCAGGTAAAAAATTGCCGAAGAAATGGATGGAAAACCGAGCCGAAAGGCAAAACAACATAATTGAAAATTATTTACATGTCTTTCGTTCCATATCCTTCTCTGTTGCTTACATCTTTCAAAATACATAAAAATTAAATCCTGATTTTTTTCACGAGAAACGGGTGAAAATCGACGAAAGAGAAGAAAAATGTTTAACTGCAAGAACAATCTTATCAAGATAAATAACGAGTGCATTGCAGAAAAGAACAAGAGAGAGAGAGAGAAAACTAATATCAACAAATAGGAAAAGTACATAGCAAATATGACGAAACTAAACAAAAAGATAAATTTCTATGTGTTCGGAGCTACTGTTGTTACTTGTTGCGGGATTATGGAACGAAGAAAAGGCGACACAATAGCAAGCAAACCGAGAGTTCAATTATCTGTTCGGTGGATTATCCTATGGCTATGTCATAGTTCTGTTCAATGCTCTTTCTCTCTTCTTTTTTCATCATTTTCTTCTTCTGTCTCTATTCATATTTCTGGCTATCTATTCCCTTTGGTCTCTGTATTTATTTTTTTCGTTTTGCAAATGTCTTTCTGTATGGCCGCGAATTTCAACTACAGTAGCACAGTTTGCCGACGGATTTTTGTTCAGTGGATTTTTTCATCTTATTTTTTTGTTTTTTTGAATGTGTGCAAAATTCGTAAAAACATACAAATTCGTAGAAAAAATTTGTTTGGCAAAGAAACAACAATGGACAATTTGGTTCAACGAAAAAGGGAATAGAGCAGTGCATTAGAGAGCATTTTGAACTGACCACAAAGAAAACAAACAATGAAATGAACTATGTGCTCATTATAATTTAGGCACAAACATCGACATGTTCATTTTGTCTCTTTTTCACATAACAATCTATCCCGCTTTCTAACACATCATTTTCAATTATGAAACCGAACCGAACCGAAACAGCATTTCGGTTCTGAGACACAATTTGATTTCGTTTAACCGAAGCAAATATTTTTCGATTGCATAAACATAAAATGGAATTCTCAAAATCGCTTTTAAGTTTTTTTTTTGCAACTTGCCGCCACACATCATCGTATAAATCGACAAAACAAAAATCTGTGTATTGAAAGTGTGAGCTCGTGCACACACTTACAAGCGGCTACTTCGAAAGTGATGATTTTTTTTCTCACTCTCCGTCGCGGCATGGTTCTTCGCAGAATTGCCAAACATTTTTTTTTGTTCATTTCGTTGATTGATTGCGGTGACTTATGTTTTACATTTTTGCGCTTCATTTTTTACACTCTTCCATCTATTTCTTGTTCGCACACAAAAATGCAACTCCCGATTGGAAAGAACATGATGTTTGACAAACAAATGAAGCGATGTTCACCTTAAAAAGAGACATATTAAAATGAACACTCATCGTGTATCGAAAATGAATAAAACACCTCATCGAATTGGCCGAACGACGAAACATTCCACACACACTACTTAATATTTCGCGAGTTTCGGTTATCCGTTTCATTCGATCTATTGAACTTCAAATTTATTGAAGTCATTCGATTTTAATGGTTTTTCGTTGTGTGCGGTTCTGCGCAAGTGTTTTGTCATCTCTCGTTCACTCAGCCGACAATAAATGAATCGGGTTTTGGATAAACCCGATCGCTTAATTTTTTCGATTATATACATTGTTGTGGATTCGCGCGCGCGCGACCACAACTGAGTCCACGGGTTCAGTTTCATTTCTGGTTTTACAGTGCTATCGAAGCGACAAAAAAATCATTGACAAAAATATGTCTTTTATAGTCACCATCACACAAAACATTCGTGAAGAAGAAGAAGAAGAAGTTTGAAACGAAATAAAATTTAATTGAAAATCAATCGTAAATTGAGTAAACGTTGCGTGTGCGCAAAAAATGAAATAGATATAACATACTGGACATACTCTAAAAAAGTGGTCAAACAAGCTCTATCTTCTTTTTTTGGATGGGACACATCTTAGAAAAGTTTCTTTATTTGGCCGAATAAAATATAGAAACCGCGTCATCAATACTCTCATTTCATTGATTTGAAACTTTTAATTGTCATTTGATTTTGAATGTTACGCAACAACGTCAAAAGACAAAAGAGAAAAAACCCGAATGGTACATTCAATAAAGCGACCTGTAAATGGATTGACGCCAACTTTCTTCATTCTAAGATTGTCTCGGTGTTGAGCACGCGTGTTACACATTCAATTCATCTACATTGTTTGGCTCAGATGTCAATTACGTGTTTCGTTCGTCAAAAATAAAACCATTAATAATAGGTGAATGTTACTTGAAGTGCACGCATTAAATATTGGCTCTCTTTCTCTCCACACAAATTGACTCAAACTAGCATTTGCGTCGTAGAGAAATCAAAATGATAAATGATTCTTTGGTGGACAAATTTTTATTGAGAGGAAGTTTTATGAATTGAATATATATGTCAATACACATAACGAAACACTTTATTTTAATGGAAGTAGCCTTATCAAGGCCTAAAACAGAGATACTCTCGCACGACTTACGACTTTTCAACTCTTTTGAACGGTTTAAAAAAAAATTGACAGATTACTCTGGTACCTCCAAAATGAAAATTGCACTGCGACTATCGAAATTTCAATAAATATTTTTTTCTTTTTCTCAAAATGAAAACAAACCGTCAAAACTGAGAGAAATCCAAAAAATAATGAATGATACTACTCGAGAATGTTGTTGTTATTTGTTTATTGTTTTTCTTTTCTTTCGATTGTATCTTGAACATTCCGGACACGATGCAGACTCTCAAAGCGAGAGTGATGAAACCATAAATAAAAGCAAAGCCAAAACGAAAACACAAACAACCAATGTGTGTGTGTGGAAGGTGAAGGCTCACAAGCGCGTGAAGCACGATTCAACTTAACTGCTGCTGTTGCATCCGATGTGGTTTAGTTGCTACCAACTAATTGCCCCGTTTTATTTATTATTATTATAAATCATATAATTAATAACAATTTACAATTTTATTACAAGAATAATCTTCGGTAGCAACGAGTCAGTTGGATCTGTGGAAACATATTGTTTTCGAATTTTTGTTTTCTTTTAGTATGTATTTATTTATGTTCACCATTCACTTCGGAAATCAAAAAAAAAGAGAAGAAAAAAGCGTTTTGAGCGTATGTGGTCGTTTTGAGGAAGAAAAATGATGATGAATGCTTCACATCACAGTGGCAAACGAAAAAAGAAAAAAAAATCGAATTCATGCCTCAAAATTAATAACGCACCGCGATCTTATGTCTTTTCCCAGGAATTACTCTATGTATGCACAACATGTCAAATCAAAGCCACACGACGGAAAAACGTTCCGATGTGGACATGAAAAAATGTTGGTCGAATTCCAACTGTTTCAATTGCTAAAAGAAATTTAATTTATATCAGTGCAATCGTTTCGGAATGACTCGAAATGATTGAAACACTCATTTTTCGACGGCGTGAATTCAATGAATATATTATCTATAATTGTAAATTTCATAAGTGAATATTGCCGTTATTTATGGACTAATTAGCGTTAGTTTTCCAGTAGCATTTTGTACGTTTTTCTCTTTCTTTCACAGTCAGCAACAATGATAGCCTCCTGCATTTGGCATTTGTCGCAACCGAACGCAAACATAAAAAGATACAATGCAGATTAACATGGCATGAAAGTGAAAAAAAGAAGAATGAGAGAGTTCAATGCAATAATTGCAACAGCGAACGTGAACACACGCGCACATACTCATACGCTTCGTGTATTTACAAATAGAAAGATCATTGGACGGCTTAAATCGAACGAAATGAGCATATTTAAATTGAGTCAAGCTGCGATAATTAATATTACTTTTCGTTTTTTCATCTCTTCTTTTCCACTTTCGATATGCTATGTCCTGTATCTCTCACTGAATTCCATCTTCGGAATTCCTTTTGCTTCACGGAGTTTGCGAGCAATGCTTACGAGGTGAAATGAGCACAACTATAAATGCTTT